TTACACCATTTTGCCCTTACACCTGGTACCGCAGTTCCTGCACCTGGTACCGCAGTTCCTGCACCTGGTACCGCAGTTCCTGCACCTGGTACCGCAGTTCCTGCACCTGGTACCGCAGTTCCTGCACCTGGTACCGCAGTTCCTGCACCTGGTACCGCAGTTCCTGCACCTGGTACCGCAGTTCCTGCACCTGCTACCGCAGTTCCTGCACCTGCTACCGCAGCTCCTGCACCTGCTACCGCAGGTCCTGCACCTGCTACCGCAGGTCCTGCACCTGCTACCACAGCTCCTGCACTAGCTACCACAGCTCCTGCACCTGCTACCACAGTTCCTGCACCAGCTACCGCAGTTCCTGCACCAGCTACCGCAGTTCCTGCACCAGCTACGGCAGTTCCTGCACCAGCTACCACAGTTCCTGCACCTGCTACCGCGGCTCCTGCACCAGCTACAACAGTTCCTGCACCTGCTACCGCAATTCCTGCACCGCTACCACAGCTCGTGCACCTGCTACCGCAATTCCTTCACTTGCTACCGCAGCTCCTGCACCTGCTACCGCAGTTCCTGCACCTGCCACAGCTGTACACGACACAAGTGGTTAGTTAATCCCCTCCTCTTCACCATCGGCTCCTACACTTCAAGCAGCCTCGTGTCGCCCTCTTTCCCTCTTATCCCCCCCTGCCCCTCCACCCACGGTTGTGGTCACGTGGTCATGTGTTTGGTTTTAATTTTTTCTATTTATTTTTGCGGTATGATGATGCGTTCTTGCTGCATTTAATATGCGAGGTAAAAAAAATTATCTGTGCAGACGGCGTAAGGAAAAAAATGTTGGAGAGGGGAGGAGAGGTTGGGGATGATATGGAGGGGAGGAGAGGGAAGGCTGAAGAGAGAGAGGGGAAGTTGGGGAGGAGAGGAGGGAAGGTTGGAGAGAAGAGGGATGGACAGGGGGGGAGGGGTAGGGGGGGAGAGGAAGGGTTGGGGAAGAGGGTATTGCGTCTTCAGTTGGTGTCTGTGGTAAGTGGACTCGGGTAAGTGGACGCTGTTTACGCTGGTCTTCGTCTCACTTTATTATACACTACAAAAAGTTACACTTACAGATTACAAGGGTGGTTGCAGGAGTCGAGACGCGGTTCCTGTGTGTGTGTGAGATAGAGAGATTCATTCTAGGAAATTTAGCTTCACTGATGTATTAAGTTTGATCCCCTCTCGATCCAAGGAACCGGAGCTATCCCCTTTGAGGACGAAACTGATTGCCTCCCAGGCAATTGAACAGCAACAATACATTTGAAATATAAAATACTATAATTCTTCAATATTATATTATAAATAATTTGTATTAAAAATGCATTTACGTTATATAAAAATATTCTATATTAAATGCTGGTTTGTCGTTCTTTTTTACTTTAATTTTTACTGACAGCGAATAAATACATTTATGTTTACAAGAGACTCAAAACACTACAGCAAATATTAAGTATTTTAGAAAAAATAATGCAATATTTTATGCTAGGAAGCCGTGTAAAATGTTATCCTAGCGAGCAATGTAAAATGTTATCCTAGCAAGCAATGTAAAATGTTATCCTAGCAAGCAATGTAAAATGTTATTCTAGCAAGTAGCGTAAATGTTATCCTAGCAAGTAGCGTAAATGTTATCCTAGCAAGTAGCGTAAATGTTATCCTAGCAAGTAGCGTAAATGTTATCCTTGCAAGTAGCGTAAATGTTATCCTAGCAAGTAGCGTAAATGTTATCCTAGCAAGTAGCGTAAAATGTTATCCTAGCAAGTAGCGTAAAGGTTATCCTAGCAAGTAGCGTAAATGTTATCCTAGCAAGTAGCGTAAATGTTATCCTAGCAAGTAGCCTAATGCTATCCTAGGAGGCAGCATAAAATGTTATCCTAGCAAGCAGTGTGAAACTTGCATCTAGCACACATAAGGGGGATTACCAACAGACCCCTGGCAGTCTTCAAGCTGGCACTGGACAAGCACCTAAAGTCAGTTCCTGATCAGCCGGGCTGTAGCTCGTACGTTGGTTTGCGTGCAGCCAGCAGCAACAGCCTGGTTGATCAGGCTCTGATCCACCAGGAGGCCTGGTCACAGACCGGGCCGCGGGGGCGTTGACCCCCGGAACTCTCCAGGTAAACCAGCACTTATGACTACTGTTAACGCTACACTACCCAACAAAACAACAGCTGCTTGGGTCTGCTCACACTAAATCTGGGTCAGAGTACTAAATATTCTCCACAAAGAGCCTATAATTGGCGCCACATGAACGGTCGTTCCCGCGTCAGGGTTTACTGCCGGTACATGAAAAGCGCGCCAAAAATTAGTACCTCATAAATCGGCGGGAAGTTGGGGAAAGCGCGCGAAATATGGTCACATGGAGGAGGCAGTTTCCTCGGTGTTGAATTACAATGGGGCAGGGGTTACCTTTTGTTGGACCGACAGACTTATGGCTCTATAGAAGTAGGACACAAATTGCGGAAACCATATCTTATTAGATCCCTACTGAGGCTAAAGGAACTCGTTAACTAACCATGAAATGGACACGACAGATAGACGCTACTGCGATCCTTCTTGGATCGTTATCAAGTAGCGAATTGCAGTAGTGTCCAGTTTCCAATTGCGAGTTATATTACAACTCTATAAGTCGTTGGTGAAGTCTCGTTTATACTGAGCAGTTCTGGTCAGAATTGGGCATATATGCATTTGAACTCAAACGAAGATAAAGATAACCTAATACACCCTCTTAAGGGGCAGAATGAACCATGGGATATAAATGAATTACTGAACATAGGTAAAACCCTAAACTCGAAACAGTTTAAGGTGGAACATGGTTGTTCCACCTGTGAATGAGTGGAACAAATTGTCAAATAGTCACTCAATGGGAATAACTGGATAGGAGTAAGACCTGCTTAGTATGGAAGAGTAAGCCTAGTGACACTGTTTTTGTGTTGTTTATGACCTGGTTTGGGAACAGGCTGCGGGGGCAGTGACCCCCCGGAAGCGACTACAGGTGGTGGACCGTTGTGGTAATGGTGACTGGTTACGGAGGCGGTGTAGGAGCTGTTGATTTGCGTTAATTAGCAGAAAGTTATGGTGGTTCCCTATGGTGAGTTACTGATGCGATGGTAATGGTATTTGCGGTTATGGTGATAATAGCGGTGGTGGTAGTTGTTTTTTTTTTTAGGTGACGATAGTGGTTAGGATAGGGGTGATGGTGGACGAGGTGGTGTAATAGTGGTGCTTGCAGTGATACAGCGACCTCTGCCCGTCCTGACACACCCAAGTGGAGAGCGCATTTTTGCTCAGTAACCCACTGCCGAGACCGTGTACACTAGACTTGTATTTCCTGTCTACCCTCATTACCTCATACCACCTGCAATATGTTTATAGGCAGCACTTAACAGCAAATATTCGTAAACATAGAAACTACACATTGGGCTAGTCGAGAAAGAGCATACCCGGAAAATATCTGTCTATAAGGCGAACTGGCATCCTAGCCAGCCCATCTATTTACAAAAGCCGCGCTAGGCTATTGGCACCATAAATCGAGCCACTTGGCAAATACTGCCCAGTACTGCGGAAATGACCCACTACATGGAAATGGAAACTAGACGACGCTTTCGTCCACCCTGGACCATTATCAAGTCACGTTATGTCTAATTTGTGTTTCAAATTTGTAGGCTAACTCTGAATTGTTCCACCTACATATTCACTATTTGTTTGCCGACCGACGCAGGTTTTTTAACGAAATAAGGCAGCCTTTACTTGTAAACGATTTCGAGAGTTGCTCTGCCTAATGCCAATTATTACTGAAAGCCTGGTCAGGCTGTTTGTTGTTACCAGTGGCTCTTGATCAGGTCCAAGTTTCATAGAGGTCAGGGCTAGTGCCAAGGGCTTCCGACAGTGAGCTGGGGTAAAGTGCCTGTACTTGACCAACCATTTTACGGGCTTATGAGCAGGAAATGCTTGGCGTGTGTCATATTGAGGCCACTGGTTGTGACTCAGTGCAGTGTGTAGCCTGAGTGAAAGCTAAGCCTTTTTCTAATCACTTGCTTGTTTTTTAAAGCTAACTCGAGATTAAGAGTAAATATACAATTGAATAATTTACGTTTGCATTTATTATTTACAAGATTGTTGCCTTGGAACAGTGAATAATTTATCATTCGCAACTGTCCGTCTGATGGTTCGCCCCATCTTATTATTATGCAGATTTGAACGCCCTCTGGGCTTGCATAGATACTGCGGCCTTTTGTTATTTTCATGGTTAATTTTTTTTTCACAGGTATAGTTACCTGGAGGTTACCTGGAGGTTATTCCGGGGATCAACGCCCCCGCGGCCCGGTCCATGACCAGGCCTCCCGATGGATCAGGGCCTGATCAACTAGGCTGTTACTGCTGGCCGCACGCAGTCCAACGTACGAGCCACAGCCTCACACACTGAGTGTCCTTGGTTCAATGCCCGGCATAAGTGGAAACGTTGGGCACGTTTCCTTACACCTGCTGTCCCTGTTCACCTAGAAATAAGTAGGTACCTGGGTGTTAGTCGACTAGTGTGGGTCGCATCCTGAGGGACAAGCTTAAAGGATCCCAGTGGAAATAAGACAGTCCTCGATGACGTACTGACATTCCTGGATGGCAAACCCTCCGGGTTAAAAAAATATGAATCTTAACCCTTCCTCACTCCAACATAATTCTTTCTTTCATAAATAAATTCTACTTCGTAAATCACCCCGCCCACGCCCTTCATTTTCTGCTTTATTTGTTTACATTTACAATGGATGAGTACAGTGTACAGTCTTCCATCACTTTATCCTACCTTCCCTTTCTTTTCTCATCTGAAGGACTTATCGAGACCTTCCCCTTTCAACTGAAGGACTTGTTACCTCGTTCCTCTTCGGCTGAAAGATTTTGAGAAATTGTTACCCACTCTCCCCTTTAACCGAGAGATTTTGAGGACTCTCTTTTTCCCAATACTTCCTGTCGTTCCTTGCTCCACTCACCTCCATATCCTGCCGAGAGATTTGGATAGCTCAGCGTTGTGGACCTGACGGTGGGAGCAGGATAACTTGCGCCTGGCCTCCTGTGCCCACACCATGAAGGCGTTCATGGGTCTCTTGACGTGAACCTTCCTTCTCTCGCTGTCCACCGCAGCGTCCCTGAGGAGGTGAACTCAACTGTACTAGGGTAAGACGCGCCTCCTTAGAGACAGTAAAGGGCTGTTAGGGGAGAGGCATCGAGAGTTATCAGTGAAGGTATGTTAGGGAGAAAGGAGACATGGAACATTACCGGTAAAGAACTGCCAGGAGAAAGGGGCATGGGGAGTTACCAATAAAGGGTGTCAAGGGAAACTGACATGGGAAGGTTGAACAAGTTTTCTTAGGGAAGGAAAGAGATGATGAGATTAGTGTTAGGTATGTAAGAGCAGGTGGCATTGGATAAATAACACATCAAAGTTTTCGTCAACAAGAGGATAAGTCAAATATATATTACTAAGGAGTGAACCTAAGAACATGATTACTGCAATAGCTCTGCTAGCTCATTTGAAATAGGTTCTACACGCGTGTATCTGTCCTAGCCTATTTAATGCAACTACGTGACATTCTGCTGCACTAATCTACAATTCTTAACTGCAAAGCCAATTACTTAAGGAGAAATTTACTACCAAACTGATGGTGTGCAAATATCACATAATATACACGGAGTTAACTGAGAGGGCAGCATCTGATCTTGTTACCACTTCCTCAGTTAAGGATTTCGAGACCCATGTTGAGTTGGGCATAAGAATTAACGACTAGACTTCTACATTATAAAACAGTTTTGTTTGTTCTGTTAATGGCACTAAAGTCTGCAATGAGACAATGAGCCCGACTCCTTGATCATTACTAATTCTACGTCATCACTAAAAACACGTGACTTACATAATGATTAACACAACATGTTTATTGTAAAGGCAAGTTATAAATATTAAAAATAAGGAGAGGAATTAATGTACATTTCATATGGATTCCACCACACAAAATTATCCCAGTATTATAAAGCTAATAAATCATCCAAAGAAAAACTTTTAAAGAAAAAGATGAAGATAACCTTGATGTGTCTGTGTCAAGCATTAGAATAATATAATATCAGGAGAGACTTAAGTAATGTTCTTGAATGTTGTAGGAATGTAGTAAGAAGCATGAGGAGATCTATAAGTCACTATGATAACATGAACATAGATAAGCACATTTATAGAGCAACTTGTAATGCAAACAGACAACGGATGTTGTAGCCAAGCTTAGGCTTGGATACAAGCTCTTGTGGTAGTTTAGCACAAGACGATGATTAACTACAATATGCAATCAGCCGTAAGCGCACTGCTTTTCTTTACATTATTGGTGTATAATAACAAGTGTGGATGAATATTATATTCATCCACACTAATGTCCATTGTTGAGGATTATATAGAAAGTACACTAACCTGTCAATGTAACTTTTTGTTAATAAAAATAACACGAAAAGTTTTAAGAAGCGTCACGAATTTCCTAACAGATCAGGAATTTGGGAACAGTATATTCCCAAATGTATTTGTCTTAGCCTCTTTTAGGGCCTAGTTTTTTAAAAGTCGTGTATGGTAATTTAAAAAAAAATCACCTAACCCATACAGTTTCTCACACCTTTCTCTCCATGTTTACATCATTTCTTCCCTAATCTCCACACCTTTCATCCATTTTTGCCTCCTGTTCCTTACTCCTTTTCTTTTGTCTTCCTTCTCTTTTTTTTTTTTCTTTTTCTTAGTTCTGGCTAAAAGAAATATTAAGTGATCGCAGGAGTGCGTACGCTGGATTACGTGTTGCTAGCACCAAAAACTTGCCGATCAGGCCATCAACCAGGAGGATTGGTCTGGGACTGGGCCACGGGGGGCGATAACCCCAGGAATATACAACAGGTCTCTGACGTCGGTAAAGCTGTTTGTTATGATTGTGCCTAAGTTCCCATATTATTTACCACCTGCGCAGCCTCTCCACACATTGTTGAGTCGCCGAGTAACGCTTCTATTTACATCGGTGGAACTTTGATTTTTTTTAACGTAACTTTTTTAAGCTAAATTTATCTACATATTTAAAGTTCGTTTTCGTTAATACTTGTTTCCTGCGAATAATCAATCAATCGCGTTAAGCGCTAAACCCACATGGGTCATTCATCGCAAGATGTGGTGGAGGCTTGATCCTCCATCTTCAGATGTATAAGGTAAAGGATGACGGGGAATGAACCGAAGTATACACGTGGACGGTAAGACATAAATCGAGGGAATACAAAGGCTCTGAAAATATCTATACAACAGAAAACTCGCGACACTGACGTCCAGACCCTGAAGAAGAGGTTTGGCGAGTTTTAAATGACATACATCGCAAAGTAGCGGCATGAAGCAAATATTATAGACGGCTTTACAAATAGATTAGACAGCGAAAAGTTGGGCGTGACTAGGTCCTTCCTGCCTTGCTGTCTACCTGGAGGGCAGTCCGGGGATCAACGCCTGGTGGATTAGGGCCTGATCAATGAGGCTGTTACTGCTGGCCGCACACAATCCAACGTACGAACCACAGCCCGGCTGATCCAGCACCGTCTTAAGGTATCTGTCCAGCTCCCTCTTGAAGACAACCAGGGGGTTTATTGGCAATTCCCCTTATGGCGGGTGGGAGCCCCGAACACTTATTGTGTTTTAGTGTAGGTTAATACAAAGAAGGAAACACGTTGGACATTATTTAATTGGTAGCTGTGTTCTCAGAATTGTGCACACATCACAAACCGCAGCATTCCAAACCTGTAGAGTGCAGGCACTACACTTCCCACCTCCAGAATCACAACATCTCCACCTATCCTCCAGAGTGCAAGCACTGTATTTCCCACTTCCGAGAAATACAGGACTTCCAGGACTCGATCCCGACTAACCATTTTCCCCGAATCTCTTCATAAATGTTACCTTGCTCACACATTACACCTCCGACGCTGAGTCATCTCAACACGGTGGTGTGGTTTGAGTGGTTTGTGCCTAGGGGTAGAGCCTCTTCTCCGGGAGTCCACTTTCCCCACAGGGTGCTTACATGCCCAACAATTCTTTCGGCATAAATGGTGGGGATATTTTCCGAACAATTTGCTGACATGACCAGTGACACGGTACAACTTAGGGACACGGATTGTGGAATGGGAAAAAATTAGCTTGCATTATATTTCTCCCTGACATTTCTCTATACTGCTCACTTGTATTATCAGTAACATGGTAAACTCACATGTAGATAATACGAGTGAGTTTATCATGTTTTTTAAAATGAGTTTACCGTTAATCTTGAAGCCGATGGAAAATTTGTAAAAACGCCATAGATCCGCATATATTTAATTCTTTCCTGTTTACTTTTTACATTTACATTCTATTTAAAAATCTCTGAAATTCTGTAAAAAAAATCGAAAACCCCAACTGAAAAAAATGGCAAAAAAAAAAATAAAAGATGAAAAAATGGCACCCTCACGAATCAAAATACAAAAAATACTTCTGATTAAAATACACTGCCATGCAGAGTTTGAAGCTGATATGAAGAAGCAGGTCGCTCCTGCCTCTCGCAACTGCTAGACCACTATGATATGGTCTTAGATGCAGATGTAGTATACACAGATTTTGCCAAAGCCTTTGACAAGTGCGATCGTGGTGTAATAGCACACAAAATGCGTGCTTGAGGGATAACTGGCAAAGTAGGCAGATGGATCTTCAAATTTCTAACCAATCGAACACAAAGAGTAGTGGTAAACAGAGTTAAATCGGAAGCTGCCATAGTGAAGAACTCTGTTCCACAAGGCACAGTACTCACCCCTATCCTGTTCCTCATTCTCATATGAGACATAGCACTGTATCATCCTTTGCAGAAGATACTAGGATCTGCGTAAGTGTGTCATCCACGGAGGACACAGCAAATCTCCAAGAAGATATAAACCAAGTTTTCCAATGGGCAACGGAGAACAATATGATGTTCAATGAAGACAAATTCCAACTACTCCGTTATGTAAAACTTGAGGAAATAATAACTAGAACTGAGTATACTACAAACTCTAATTACACAATAGAGAGGAAAAGTAATGTGAAGGACCTGGGTGTGGTAATGTCCGAAGATCTCACCTTCAAGGACCACAATCATGCCACTATCACATCTGCGAGGAAACTGATAGGATGGATAATGAGAACATTCAAGACAAGAGATGCTAAACCAATGATGATCCTTTTTAAATCACTTACTCTCTCTAGGCTGGAATACTGCTGTACATTAACATCCCCATTCAAGGCAGGTGAAATTGCAGAGCTAGAGAATGTACAGAGAACCTTTACTGCACGCCTGGAAGCACTTGACCTGTACTCGCTAGAACGCAGGCGATGTTGATATGACAATCTACACCTGGAAGATTGTGGAGGGACTGGTCCCTAATCTGCAAACAGAAATCACTCCCTACGAAAGCAAAAGATTTGGCAGGGGATGCAACATACCCTCAGTGAAAAGTAGGGGCGTCACTGGTATACTAAGAAAAAACACAATAAGTGTCCGGGGCCCAAGACTGTTCAGCAGCCTCCCACCAGCCATAAGGGACATTACCAATAGACCCCTGGTTGTCTTCAAGAGGGAGCTGGACAGATACCTAAAGTCAATGCCGGATCAGCCGGGCTGTGGTTCGTAAGTTGGACTACGTGCGGCCAGCAGTAACAGCCTCGTTCATCAGGCCCTGATTCACCGGGAGGCCTGGTCGTGGACCGGACCACGGGGGCGTTGATCCCTAGAATGCCCTCCAGGAAAACTCCAGGTAGACTAGTTATTACATGGGAAATTGGAAAATCGACATTTACCTACCTCAGGCGAGTGACAAGCTGATTTAATAATCCCCAGCAAAGGTAAAAGTTTAAAACCGATCAGAAAAACCATTCTTCCGTAATTGACCTGATTCCAACGATTCCAAGTTTAACTAAACCAAATATCACTTCATTAAAATTGGCAAATCAGGGCTTACGCCACCCACTGGGAGAGTGAACCTTTGGTTCAAGAAACCACACCAGGGGTGAAAATTTGAAACCGACCAGATGAGTCATTCTCTACTTATGGCACAGATTCCAACAATTCCCATTTTGTTTTAACTATTT